ACAGCTAAACCGATTTGTCTCTGACAAACAGAGATGGTTAAGCGGGCTGAAAGTTAAAGGCTATCGCTCTAGAGATAAACTAACTGAAGAATCTGTCAACGTTCATATCAGGATCGAGATAGCTCATTTTAATGTATGCTGTGGGGAAAAGTCTTGCCATTCGCCATTGAACGAAGTGTTGTTGCTCTACGGCCGTTCAGCTCAAACTGAAATTTAATATGACATCCACCAGCTCAAAAAGTCTTTGGCCACAGTGAACAATATCGTGCGAGCATTACCGAGTTGAAGTAAAACGTCACATGATCTTCGCCTGCGACTGTCACCACAGAGCAAGTTTTAGAGGGGCTAAATGTTATCAATATAATTATTTCCTCTGGTAATGACGGGTTGTCCTCAATGGTCCTAAATATATGTGTGAACCACCTGGGACAAATAGTTACACTCATCTTTACTATAGGTCTATCAGAGTATATACCAGTTGGTACATGGCGTAATGTTCCCATCACTCCAGCATCTCAAAAAAGAGAGGCCAATTTTCGGCGAATTTCTTCATCGTCGGTGCTGCTAGAAACGTTTGAGGGAATAATTTTTAAGACTCTATCCTCTTCTCGTGATCTTTGTGATTCCACTCACTTCGCTTATTGAAAGTGTCGCTCGGATGTAGATGCTGTTGCTTATCTTACACATTCCGTTCAGTCCACGATCGACCAAAACCACAAGACTGTTCATGTTTGCTTTTTGAGTCATATATGAGTTTTTTAATGACCCACACCAGTTCACTTGTCTTGATATTATTAGGTGTATTGCTGGGTGCAGATTCATCCGCTTCTCGTCTCTCTCTTCACTTTCAAAATTAACCATTCACCCCATCTATTGTCACATTTAAGTCTACTGGTGACGTAGTGGTTGCTGGTGCATCCAATAGCCGTCCTGAATCACCCATAAGTTACATCTCTTTAAGCCAAACGGATTTAACCTGTTTTCCATTAATTGTAGGCTATCCATACATCCCGGATCAACTGTTCCTAGCATCTTGGTTGACACTGTAAATATTTAAAGGTCTAAATACTTCAACTCCTTTGGATGTTTTCTGTCTACTGACCTCAAGTGGTCTGACCATGTGCAAAAAACATTTCCGGAAATCAGAAAGTTGACATTTAACATCTCATGCTTTTGACTTCTGAGCGCTGCATGTAGTTTCTAAATTTATTTTCAGGTACGTTTCTTGTCATTAGGCCTACTGCTTCCCCATTATTTTCTCCGATCTGTTGTCTAAGGGTTTCATATTGGTCAGGCGCTCTATGAAAAACATCTCTAGATATGGAGCTGACCCTTATTTGGCGCTGATCGACTCCCTTGTCAACCCAACAACTTAAGGCGTGTGACCGCTTGTGTGACTTAGTCTTGCCTGATGCATAACACCCACTGCACCCGACCCACTCCGGCTGCATTCTCACTTCTGTCACCCGCAATAAGTTAAAACCTTTAAACACCTGCATCACAGCTTCTCACAATTCCGTTGTACTTTGTCTTGTTCGTTTATTGTTTTCTATGCCGGTTTTCATGCTGAAGTTTCTACTTTCGTTACGCGTTCTCGCGCTTCATCATCACAACCTATTTGCTGAATGCCGTATTTTTAAATCCTTTTCAACCGGATATACAGGAAAGCGAAATTAATTGAATTTTCACTGAAAATTCTGTCCACAATGGATGAATAATGTGCATTATTGAATTGACATGACTTGTAGGGATTTATAAATGGGAGAATCCAATTCTACGGATGACAAAAAAAGCATTGAAGATAGGGCGTAAAATGCATGTGCTAAATGGTTAACATGAAATAATAAGAAAATTCCCACCTATATGCTGTTGAAATTGTTAATTTATGAATTTCGGCAGTTCCTGTGATCAAAGGATTATTATGAGAATAACTTACAAGCTTATGCTTTTCTCGTCCCAGAGATTCGTGTTGTGGTTAAAAGACAGTGATACATATAATACGAATACATACATACGATGACGAAGCGAAATTCATGGATAGTTGAAAGGGCAGCAAAATGACCGAGGGACACAATCCTACTCCAACTTACCGGTCAGCAGCATCTCCCTCTCGAATAATCAGCTCATAGGGCTTGCGAGTTTCGATTTCGCATTCTCTCACAAGTCGAGTAAGTACATCTAGAAAATTGAATACAAAATTAAAATTTCGTGAATGATTGCCATTCATCGAAAGTGCATTTATGTATTTATAAATACAATGATGCATTCTAATAGTTAAGCGTAAATATATCGTGCACTCTGCCATATGCATGCTGGAGCAGGATTATTGCGGCTAATCGTCTACCGTGAAAGTAATCACTTCATAGCAGATGTACTCTCCGTCTTAGTCTGAGGAGGACCTCAGCCAGTGAAGGGTTAGTGGATTCATGTTTCTATTAAGACTTTTGGGACCGTATACTAAGCTTCAAAATGTGAACGATAAACTTTGTACTAATTTTGTGTGATGAACTGCGTGATGTACAGAGCAAACGAAGCGTGGACTAAAGAGCTGGAAATGCACTTGACAACGGTCTCGACGTGTTTGGGTTCATCAACAGTGTGAACCGCTCTACTCAATTGGAGATGAAATTGGGAACCTCACAAGAAGAACAAGGGCACACTATCCACTTTCTCCGTTTTATCTGTGCATGATATTACACATCCCTGTTCTGTAAGCTTTTTCTGGCCAACGTACCTCGCTCATCTTAGCAATGGGGCTATTACTCTAGGGTAATTACTCGTTTGGAATCATTCCGATCCTGATCGAGTTAAGTTACGGATTAGATCCTTAGTTAATTTGATGGTGATACACTTCTACTGAGAATCGCCCAAGTCAAAGTAGTACTGCTTAGATCTTCAGATCATGTTTTTCACAACGCAATCCATTATATAACCGAAAAGAATCCTTCAGTACTGTTGGATATGGTGCAAACCCTATCGGGTAGATTTGAAGGATCATCCATCCGGGTATTTTGTTCAAATTCTCTAGCTTAAAATCCATGTAATCTATGACTTATTGATAAGACGGTGTTTTTTTATTCACCTTGTTCGGCTAATTGCTCGTCCAGTTTGCTGTCTAGGGACCGTCAAACAGTGTGTTCGTTAAGGCTTTGTATCTGTAAAGTTTCATCACTGTTTTGGTACTCATTTTAATTAGTGTTCTGTCAGCCTCTTTTCAAATTGATGTGATTTACAGTTTCGTCGAAATTTGTTTTGTTTTTGTTTAACTCAATCTGATGTAAAATCCCATACGTCATTCGCTCCGCGGTCACAACCAAACAACCATTTTGATTTTTTTCGTTATTGATTGTTTTCTTGGTTGTTGCCGACACTAAAGGAAACCGATCGATATAATTTCTGTCCGGCTTGGGTCAGCATCCGTGTTAGGAATGATAACCTGAGTGGATATCTAGGCTCGTCACATGACTCATCAGTGAGGACTCACTCGTCCCGTTGGTAGTAGTTGTTGTTGTTGATAATTAAGCTGTCCAATTTGATCAAAGCCCTAACAAGTCCAACCATCATTACCTCATCTCTTTCCCTCAGAGGAGAGATTCCTTTCAACATGTGAAACTCTTAGTGAAATCCTCTTCAGAAAGTGTGACATCTTCCGCTGTAAAAGCCAGAGAAGTTTACGAACACCGATTCTCGCTTGTTTTAATGAGCATTTAATTTTACTGAAAATCAGAACGCATTTGATCACTTTCAGAAGAACATGACATTCTTAAAAAAGAAGAGAGTATGATGTGTAAAACGTACTGCTTTATCCGACAGCTTCTAAGACGAAGCTCGGAAATGGGTACCGGTTGACAAATGTCGTGGTTCTGTTTTACTGCAACATTGACCCACAAGCGGTGTGGCATGAAATATGCAAGGCGATGATAACTAAAATATCTGAGCAAACAAGCTGTGACAACTGCATTGCCTTTCGGGTACAGTTGAAAGGTGATTCGACAGCGTTGTGCACTAATGTGTTCTTCTGAAAGTATTAAAATCATGCATATCTCCTTCATAAAACATCCGAAGTAGTTATCGTGTCCTGCATCGATTCCTGTCTGCAGGCGAACTATTGTCATTTCACACTAGTAAAGAAGAACATGGATTTGACGTAGTGAATGTTCTAGTAACAATAAAAAACACTCAGTGTACCACATATTAAAAAATAGTCTTTATTGAAAAATATACTCATGGTTGCAGCTACAAACGCGTGGATTTGTTACAGACAAATCACAGTGGTGCGTACTGCCATTGAACGATTTTTTTACGTTTCTCGGTCAATCCGGGGGGCTACATACTGTCTCGTTTGAGCCTCTTTTATTTGCACGATGCCTCGAGATCTTAAAATTTACCAAATACAATGTCGAGGGATCGTGAAAAACCAATCTGCAGTTACAGGTTTAGTGAAGACACGAATGAAGCCATTTTGATTTAATTGTGAGTCGTGTACATGTCTCACTGGAACTTTTAGTTCATAGTTGCTTTTTGTATTTTCCCTGTCTTGCAGGTTGTGTTGGAGCCCCTCTCCACGGAGAACCTATTCTGAGAAGTGTGTCCTACCTGTGTATTGAAAGCGTCAGTGAGTGTCCAGAGATTGTGCGGCCA